GGTGGGGGGGCTGAGGTCCCATGCCGGAGCGGTTGAAATTGCACCCCCATCAAGCGGCGCTGTTTTAGAGCGCAGCAGCCAGGGATCCCTGTGGTCCTGCATGTGATCCTGCATGTGATCCTGCAGGAATGTTGTGACCGGCCTGCCCTGCACCTTGCTGCTGCACCCAGGAGCTTTAGCCGCTAAGCTGGGCCATCTAGTGACACCTGCTGGTCAGCCAGACCTATCCCTCCAAGTGCGCATACAAACCCACAGCCACGCCCCCCCTCCCTCTTGGCACCCACCGCGTCAGCCCAGCCCTCCAGGTGCTGCGGCCGGACCCGCCTGTGCAGCTCTGCCAGCCGCCGCAGCGACCCAAACACCTCCGGCCCCCCAGACCGCCTGAACCCCGCCAGCAGCGCCCCCTCGGCGCCGCCCTCCTCCCCGCCCTCCTCGCTGCCGTCGTCGCCGCTATCCCCTGCCTCGGACGCGCCGCGGTCCTCCGCAACCTCGGACGCCACCTCCTCGTCCTCCTCGTCTTCGCCGCTGGGGTCCAGGTCCAGCCTCTCACTGGGCACCACCGCCAGCACCCTGGCCACGCAGCGCCGCAGCAGCGTCAGGAGCTCGTCAGGCGGCAGGGGCCGCGCGTCGGAGGCGGAGACGAAGGCGACGGCGTGGGAGGCGGCGGCGCGGAGGGGCTCGGGGGCGGTGGCGGGGTCCAGGCAGCCGATGAGCGCCTCCAGCATGTCTGGGGGTGACGGGGCGGTGGCAAAGGGAGGCGGCTGTTGGGGGGTTGCGAGTTTTGGGGGCACAGTAACTCTTGTGCTGGTGGCGAGCTTTCTACCTGTGTGCTGCCCTTCCAGCTGCCAGCCGGCGCTTGTGCATCCACAGATTCAGGACGACAGGCCTTGCAGTTGCATGCAATAATTGACACGACCATTGACCCAACTCGCAGTTGCACCACAACCCTTGGGACGCAGTCAACACGGGTCACCCCTGGCAGCCACCAGGCAACAGCTCATGCGGCTAACCCCGCGCCCACCAACGATGTTGAGGAAGAAGCTGTGGCTGGCCTGCTGCGCCAGCACGAGCCGGCTGATGAGGTCACTGCTCCACTCGGTGCGCAGCTCGGGGGGGCTACCGCCCAGGTCACCTGAGAGGAATGGGGGGGCATGGTGCGTATCCGAGGGTCCAAGAGCTGGGGATGCCATCTCTTGCTGTGGTGCTCGGTATGAAAGCACTCGCGAAATTCTGCGCGGAGGCTGACAAGGCCGGTGCGCGCAACGCTGACGAGAGACAAGACAGGGTGAAGCGCACAAAGCCATGCGGCAAGCAGAGGGCGCAAGGGGGGGATTGGGTAAGGCGTGAGTCCTCGCATCAACTTGCGCCCTCACCGCTCAGCAGCCTGACGGCGGCGTGGATGTGTGCGGCCTCCTCTGGCGGGGGCGGCAGCATCAGCAGCTGACGCATGGCCTGGCGGCACTCCGGGGGGCACGCCAGCGGCAGGGTAGCGTCCTGGGGGTGGCGGAGGGCGGGGTGTCAAGGGGTGAAGGGGGGCTGGGCGGCGCTGACTGGCCTTGCTCTCATCGAGGGGCGCACGCATCGCGTATGAGAGGCACGAACGCCTGGCGTGCGCCTTGGCAGGCCCTCGGCTCAGCCTGGACCGCAACCCCTTCCCCTCGGCCGGGTCTGGCCTGTGGCCCACCAGCAGCGAGGGCACCCCCTCCGTCTGGATGAGCCCCAGCTGCCGCGCGGTGCTGTTGAACAGGGTGGCGCCGCGGCGCAGCAGGTAGCCAGAGCCCTGGATTAGGTTTGGGTGGAAGGCGGCGGTGGCTCATGGGGTTGGGACCATCAGTGAAAAGGTGGGAAGGAAACCCAGCCGTGCGGCAGGGGGTGTGTCAGAGGGAGCAAAAGCGGATGGGAACCCAACTGGAGGCAGGCCCGCCCTGCCCGCCACACCTCCTGTGCCCACACGTCTTGCTCTACACCCTGCTTTGTTGCTGTCTCCTCCGCCCCTGCCCAGTGCTTGCACGCCCACCTCGATCCGCGTCACTGGCGTGTCTGCCGGCCGCCCCAGCATCATCAGCGCCTCCCGCACAAAGCCCCCCTCCGCGTCCACGCTGCTGTAGGGCCGCGCCACGCCGCGCGCGCTGGCGCTGGCGGAGGCGGCCGCGTCGTGGGGGGGTGGCGCGAGGCCCATGGCCTCCCTCACGCGCAGGCGGAACTCCCTGTCATGGAGGACATCAGCCTGGGTGGGGTGCCCCTGGGGGGTGGGGTGGTGGAGGGGGGAGGGGGACAGGGACGCTGAAGCGGAGGGAGTGAAGGGGTGTGCGTGTATTCATGCGTGCATGGCCGCCTGACCGTTGAGACGAGGATCAGGGGTGAGACAGCAGGTGGGGGGTGGTGTGTGTCCACGGCTTCCTAAAATGCGTGGGGGCGCGCGGTCGGGGCGGGCCTGGGCCGGGGGTATTTGCGAAGGACAGGGCCGAGGACCAGTGGACGACGGCACCATTTGAGCAGGTCGTGCAGAGAGACCGCTGCCCCTGGGACAGCTGCTCCCCACCCCCGAGGCCGCGCCCCAACAGAGCCACGCGAGCCCCCCCCCCAAGAAGCCCACCTGCCCCGCCCTCCTGTGCACCAGCAGCGGCGGCGCGGCCCCCAGCGCGCCCACGTGCGCCCACATGGCCTCCTCGCTCAGGCCCTCCAGCGCCATGAGCGCCAGCCGCGCCGGGTCTAGCGCCATCACGGCCCAGCCCGCAGCCGTGCCGCTGGTCGCAGACACGCCTGGGGCAAGGTGGGGAAATCAGGGCAAGAGGTGGTCAGGGGGGGGGGGCGTTGAGGCGCGCAGGCGGAATTTAAAGGAGGTCAAGAACACACCCCAGACAAGGCGTGTGTGTGGCGACAAACTTACAGCCGCGCAGCACGTTTGACCTCAAACAACGGGACTTGCACAGGCAACTCATTTGCTAGCCCGCCCTTACCCCCTGCCATCCCCCCTCCGACCTATGATGGGCCGTGCCGCCAGGAACCCCCCCGTGGCGGCCGCGCCGCCGTCCAGCGCCCCCGCCGCCAGCTGAGCCCCCGTCTCGTCGTCCACCAGTCCGTCCAGGAGGTGGGGCTGTGCTGTGCTGACCACCTCACGCAGGTAGCGCTCCTTGGCCCCGGGGCGGCCACCAGCCTCCACCTCCTCAACCACGGCCTGAGGGCGGGGAGAAGGGAGGGTGAGGGGGGGCCGTGACGGGTGGAAACTGGGGAGGGGCGGGGGTTGGCTGCAGCTTGGCGCGAGCCAGCAGCCCCGCAGGGGCCATGCAGCTAGGGCGGCGCCCTGGCAAACACTGCAGCAGCCCCGCCAGCGCGGTGGAGGCGATGTAGATCCATCGTATGAGCCAAACGTGCGCCCGATGGACGCACGGCAGCTCCCCGCTCCTCACAGCACGAGGGATGCCCCGCCCCGCCCTCACACCACCAGCCCAGCAGCCGCCTCCATCCAGCACCCGCTCCGCCCCAGCCCTGCCCCGCCTCTCCCCCTGCAGGTGAGTCTGCAGATCCGCCGCCTCACCACGCTGAGCCCCTGCTCCACCAGCAGCGCCAGCGTCCTCCGCAGGTTGGCCGCGGGGCAGCCCGCGCGCGGCACGCCCCTCTCCGCCGCCATGGCGTTGAGCCCCGCGTGCTCCATCAGCAGCACCGCGTCAAAGCCAACGCACTCGTAGAACTCCCCCACGCGCATCAGCACCATGGCGCGCGGCAGGGCGCGGCGGAAGGCCAGGTACTCGCGGTAGCAGGGGAACGCGGAGCGCTCCCCGTCATCGCCCCGCGGGGCCACGCCCAGGGGTAGCTCAAAGTCTAGGTACTCGGCCTGCTCCTGGGCGTGGGTTCTGGTGGTGGTTTTGGTGGTGGTGGTGGTGGTGGTG